AAAGACAAGAAATAACTCAAGCAAGCAATAAATAAATAACTAATTAAACCATCAATCAATCATAACATAATATGATAATAATAGTATAACCATTAACCAATCAAATTTCAAGCTAAGGTCTTTCATTATTGAAATTAAAAGTTCAAACTTCAAAAAATCAAACCATAAAATAGAATGATCATCACTAATCAAAGTCCACACTCCATAGTACACAAAATCACAAACCATCTTTCTAATGTTCAAGCTTAAAATAGGACAACCACAAATATAAAAATCTAAAGGATTATTCATCGAATCATCATCATTCATCATCATAATCATCTTCTTCTTCAGAGGTGAGATAGGGAGACTAACAGGGAAGGGAGATTTATAGCTTACTAAAGTGTAGAATGTAAATACTAGGAGGTGAGAGGGGGAGACTAATAAGTAAGGGAGACATCGTCGTTGACATCACAATGAGGGAGGACGTGAGATGCCAACAAGACTGAGAGTGAGAGGTGATGCGATAGGAGGAGTTATTGTCGGATGTTGCTACTTTGATATTGGGACTAAGTGATCGATTGAGCGAGCAACGAGACTGTGGGTGTGAGAGACAGAGCTAGAAGGCAAGAGCAAGAAGCGAGATGGCAAGAGTGCGGAGAGTTAGAGTTGGGAGGCAGTGCCGAAGGTAAGACATTGAGTGAGGGTGTGCAAGGCTGTGTGTTGTGCGACACTTTTTGTCCTAGGTCTCCCACCTTTTTCTTTAACCAAAAAAAAAAAAGCTAAACGGGCAGGTACGGGTAGCCTGTTCCTATGCCCATAGCCAGCCCATTTAATATTGAAACCCACCCATTTATTTCTTTTTTGGACAGGCTCAAATAGGCCCAATCTTTATTGTTGCGGGCAAGGTGGTCAAGTTGCGGGTTACTTGTCAGCCCTACATGAGATAAACATTTGCTGCAAACCTTTTGTTTTGATATTTGACATCACCAAAACTAATAATATCTAACAGCTTTTTGTTTAAAATTTATAAAATCGGAGACATAGATAGCATTGATTATTAGATTATGAGAATAAGCTAATCATTTTAAACATCAACCAAAATTGGAGTTACCGTGTTAGTTTTAGTGAAAAAAAAAAAATTTGACCGCTTAAACATAAGGTTTTGAGTTTGATTTGAATTCATGTGACTACAAAAAAAAAACATCATTTGAAGAGTTGTTCTCAATTTGGCCTATTAGATACTCATAAAAAAATTAATTATCTATAGCAAGAAAAAAGTTAATCATTTTAAACGTTTTTAACATAAACTTCAATTAAGAAAAATATTTTTAGAATTTTTTACCAAAACATTATTAAAAACTGCTAAAACATAAATAGATTAAAATTAAGGCTGTGAAAATATTCGAAAGTTTTTTGTAATTTTAGCAAAACTGAGGCATGTCAAGTGTTATACCAAAAAAATTGACCTTGATAGTCATACATCATTTGATGACAAATATTAAAGACTCACAAAAGGGGACCACTTTAAAACGGACAAAAAAGAACAATTGTCACAGCAGCGATAGAAAAATTTTGTATTTTATTTGAAGTAAACAGTATAGTGAGGAATCTTTTGCTTTTCTTATGTGAAAAAATTTGTTCATAAATGGGAAAGGAATTTGGCAAGAGAGGAGTGGAGAAGAAAATTCCATGATTCTTGTTCTATCATGATTGATTTGTCCTATCGTATAGTGATTGGAGAAGAAAATCTTCATTTAATTTGCCTGATAGTCATATAACACATTATATATATAAAAATATTCTTATGATTATATTTAAAAATATTGCTGTTGTTATTTTTTTAAAAAAATTTTGTTAAGTTGAAAAGGAAAAGGATTATATATACGTTTTTGTTTTATTTGGGGTGAAAATATTGTGAGATAAGAAAACTGTTGTTTTTTTAAATGTCAAAAATTTCTTTGTTGATTCGAAAACACCTTTTGAAAATAAGAGAAATGAGTCGAAAACCCTGCACACAAGTTTCGTATTGTTCACTCGTATGCAGAAAAAGTTTGCCAACTATGTCTCTAATTTCCAGAATTTGCAACCATTTTTCTAAAATTGCCGTTCGACTGGGGGGGTTGAAACTAAAAGTTCAATCCAATTGGCTTATCTTCAAGTTATTGTCTCCATCTGAAGCTTCTAGATTTTTTACGTTTTTTTTCCAGTTTTTTCAATGACTCGAAAAGATTTGTGTAGATCAACGCACTTGATCTAAATCAATATAGTAATATTGATCAGTGCCATTTATTTTTGCACATTTGAAAAACGTATGATATTTGACGCACTTTGAAAAAAAATTTATAAGCATTTTTGTAAATTTACTTTTTATATTTTTTAAATAGCATGTGTCCCACTATAAAAAGTAAACGGATTTTATGTTATTTTAGTAGTTGTATCATTTTCACTCTAATTTTGCATTTTTATGTGCATTTTTGAACCTCCAAAAAGCATATGATGTTTGGTGCATTTTATGTAAAAGTTAATGAGTTTTTCTGCACACTTGGCTTTTTAAAAAGAAAAACAATAATTTGTGCTACCTTTTTTATTGCGGGTTCTATCTTCATTAACCATTTTTTTCATTGTAGGTCCCATACCCACTTTTTCATTGGGGCTTTACATTCTCCTTTATTCTTTTTTACTATGTCAAAATTGGAAAATATTATGTAAAATAAAACTAAAGCCAAAAGAAAATAAACATTGGATGGGTGCTCATCCGACAAAAATTATAAAGGAAAGAGAGTTTACTAAAATATTTATTTAAATATTATGCTGTTTTTTGTTTAAGATTCATTAAATTGACGACAAAGAAAGCATTGATTGTTAAATTATGATCTTAGTGAAATAGGTTTTGATCGCTTAAATATGAGATGTTGAGTTTAATTTGAGTTCATGTGAATTTAAAAAAAAAACATCTTTTAGAGAGTTATTCTCAATTTGGCCTTCTAGATAGTCATATAAACATTTTTAACATAAACTTCAATTAAGAAAAATATTTTTAGAATTTGTTACCAAAACATTATTAAAAAATGTTGAAAATATATATTAAAATTAAGGTTGTCAAAATATTTGAGAGGTTTTTGTAATCTTAGCAAAATTGGGGTAGATCAAGTGTTATACTGAAAAAATTGATGTTGATAGTCACACATCATTTGGTGACAAATACTAAAATAGAAAAATTTTTGTATTCTATTTGGAGTAAATGTTAGGGTGAGGAATCTGTTACTTTTCTTATGTGGAAAAATTTGTTCATAATTTGAAAAGGAATTTGGCAAGAGAGGAGTGGAGAAGAAAATTCTATGATTCTTCTTCTATCCTAATTGATTTGTCTCATCGTATAGTGATAGTAGAAGAAAATTTCTATTTAATTTTTCTGACATTCATATAAGACATTATACATATAAATATTCCTATGATTATATTTAAACATAATATTCATTTAAAATTATTTCTGTTCTTGTTTTCAAAATATTTTAACTAGTTGAAAAGGAAAAAGATTATACATGCCTTTTTGGTTTGTTCGGGATGAAAATATTGTGAGATGAGGAAACTTTTATTTTTTTTTTAATGTGAAAATTTTTTTTGTTAAATTTGAAAAGAGCTTTGGAAAATAAAAGAAATAATGAGTCAAGAACCCTCCACACAAATTTTGTATGGTTAACTTGTGTGAAAAAAGTTTGCCGGCTATGTTTTTACTTTCCAGTATTTGTAACCATGCATCTAACATTATAAATATAAATATTAATTGAGTAAATTTATTCATGACAATTCGACTAATTTGTCTGTAGGAAATCCTATGAAGTCCAACACTTGTATAAGAAACTCTTTGGATCCAACAAACAAGTTAGGTAGGGGAGTCATTTGTAATTATCACTGAAGGGACAATAGAAAACTTCGCGCACATGCACTCATTTTTCATGAAATTTGAAAAAGATTTTATAATGAGAAAGAATATATGAACATATTTTTTAAATTAGAATCAATTATAATATTTATGAAGATTTATCAATTAAATTTTATTTATTAACAGTTAATTAAATTGTCAAAGGCAGATTCTTCAAGATTTATCACTGGTACATATATAAAAAAGTATAAACACCTTACTTATGAGGAAAAAAAAAAAGTACATATGTAAGAATATATTGTATACGAAGATTAGGTGTACTGTTCCTTTAAATTATTTTCATCAATTTATACGTATGTATGTGATTTGCTAATAATAGCAATAACGTTTTATAACTTTTACAGTCATATTTGGAGACGAATATAACAATTAAAATTACTTAAATCCATGATTTTTTAAGGAAATGGTGAGACCTATTAAGCTATAACTTTGCACAAATAATAAAGAATTATGTATACCTTTTACATACATAATCGTCTCAAGTTTCACATCTCACTGTCATCGTGTATTGACCAAGACGCCTATAGAATGAATGCTTTGCTAGGAAGTCATTCACTATTATGTGAAAGTTTTGCTTAAACCCCCACTTTCTAACACTATAAATACCAGTAGTTTTGTGTAGAGTTGTAAGCCAGCTCTAGTAAAGAAACTAATCAAGGGTCAGTGGGAAAATACCATTATGTTCATTTTGATTTGCTCACTCACCCTATCACTAAACCCCTTATGCAAATGCAAAGCATCTGATCAAGTTGTTTGCATTCCTAGTGAGAGACAAGCCCTGCTTAATTTCAAGCTACATCTTCGTGATCCTTCAAACAGGCTTGCCACTTGGTGTGATGATAACACAAATTGTTGCAACTGGACATCAAATTCTTGCAATCACGAAACAGGTCACATTCTTGAACTTCACCTCTCAACTTCAATTACTTACTCGTATGGGGGTTATGATGTTTCTGAGATATCAATGTTTGGGGGTGAAATACATCCTTCGATACTTCAGTTGAAAGAACTAAGTTACTTGGATTTGAGCAGCAACTATTTTGAAGGCATGTAGTTTCCAAGTTTCCTTTGTTCAATGAAGAGCTTGACATATTTGAACCTCTCTTCTGCGGGATTCAGTGGAAGCATTCCTCACCAAATAGGAAATCTCTCTGGTTTGCTCTATCTTGACCTTGGAGGAGATAATTATTTTATTGGAAAGATTCCCCATCAAATTGGTAATTTATCAAATGTACTCTATCTTGGTCTCTTCGGTGGTCATCAATATGACGAGGATGGGATATCAGTGTATGAAGAAAATCTTCAGTGGATATCATCTCTTTCTTCACTCCAATATCTTCAATTGAGTTCTGTTAATCTGTCTAATGCCTTTGATTGGTTGCCTGTTTTGCAATCTCTTCCCTCATTGACAGAGTTACACCTACAAGAGTGTGCTCTTCATCACAATTTCCATCCAGCCATTGCCATAAACTTTTCATCTTTAAAAATCCTTGACATTTCCTTCTCTTTTGATTTTGGATCTCCTTCCATTCCAAAGTGGATTTTTCGGCTAAAGAATTTGGTTTCGCTTAAATTAAGAGATAATTATTTGCAAGGATCCATCCCAAATGGTATTCATAACCTCTCTCTCATTGAAGATCTTGATTTGTGTGAAAATTTGTTTAATTCTTCTATCCCTAATTGCTTATATACTTTGAACCATCTCAAGTCTCTTGATCTTTCTACAAACAATTTGCATGGAACAATTTCACATGCAATTGGAAACTTGACTTCTATGGTTACTCTTGCTTTGTCAGGCAATGAGTTGGAAGGACCATTTCCAAACTCTTTAAGCAATTTCTGTAACTTAAGAAGTGTTTATCACTCTAACAACAACTTCAGACAACAAGTTTTTGGGTTAGTAGAAATAATCTCTAATTGTGCTTCCCACACACTCGAGGATTTGTCAATTGGTGGTTTAAAAGTTTATGATAATTTGACGAATTGGGATTTTCAAAAATCTCCGTGTCCTTTCTATCCCTGACTATTCTATTCAAGGTGCAATTCCTATATCTTTAGGAAATCTTACCTTTTTGAAATTTCTTGCTGTTTAGGGAAATAAAGTTGATGGGAATCCTTTTGATGCTTTGCAATCATTTTCTGAATTAGAATATCTTGATATCAGAGATAATCTTTTTCGTGGAATTGTGAATGAACATCACCTCGCCAATTTCGCTAAATTAAGTTATTTCACCGCATCAGGAAACAGACTTACTTTAAAAGTAGGTCCCAATTGGAAGCCATCTTTTCAAAAGTTGATCTCCTTGGACATGATCTTATGGCATTTAGGTCCCCACTTTCCATCATGGATTCGATCACTAAAACATCTTGAGGAGTTGTACATACCTAATACCAACATCTCTGATTCTATCCCCACATGGCTATGGGGTGCATTCCCCTATGCTTCTTATTTTGATTTCTCTAACAATGATATCCATGGAGAGCTTTCTTATACATTGAAGAATCCCATGAATGTCCACACCATTGATTTAAGCTCAAATCGCTTAAGTGGTTCTTTACCACACATATCACCAATTGTGAAATACTTAGACCTCTCAAATAATTGGTTTTCTGGATCCATAGCCTCCTTCTCATGTCAGGAAAAGGAGCAGCCAATGACGTTAGAATATCTCAATTTAGTATCAAATAATTTGTCAGGTGAAATACCTGATTGTTGGAAGATGTGTTCAAATAATCTAATGATCGTCAAGTTTGATAATAACCATTTCAATGGGAAGTTGCCCACATCCTTGGGATCCTTACCTTGGTTGTCCTCATTGCAACTCCGTAACAATGCTTTTTCAAGAAATTTTCCTCTTTGTTTGAAGAATAGTACTAAATTGGTATTTTTGGATCTTAGAGAGAATCAATTTTCAGGAATCATTCCACCATGGGTTGGAGACATTCTCTTAACTTTAAAGATCTTTCTCCTCAGATCAAACCAATTCAATGGTAAGATTCCCAATCAAATATGCTCTTTGAAGTCGCTACATATCTTGGATCTTGCACAGAACAACTTGACCGGACAAATACCAAAATGCATCAATCAATTGAGTGTTATGCTAGTAAAGAATACCACTCTAGAATCGGACATCTATGGCAAAGGAAATGGTAGTACAAGATCTATAACTGATGTGCTTCTAGAGCTGAAAGGAAGAGATGATGTATATACTTTGCCGGGCCTCGTCACAAGCATAGATCTCTCTGGTAATAAATTGTGTGGGGAGATGCCAAGTGAAATTACATCTCTTAAGGGGTTGCATTTCCTGAACTTGTCAAACAATCTTTTGAGTGGTAAGATTCCTCAAAATATTGGAAACATGGAATGGTTGGAGTCAATGGATCTCTCAGAAAATCAGCTTTATGGTGAAATCCCATAAAGCATGTCCAATTTGAATTTCTTGAGCAAGTTGAACTTGTCATCCAACAATTTGATGGGGAAAATTCCAACAGGAAGTCAATTGCAAAGCTTCGAAGCATCAAGTTTTGTGGGCAACAATCTCTGTGGTCCTCCACTACCAAAGAATTGGGATGATTTGCAGAATATCCCAAATCGCCTTGATGACAAAGAAGGTAAGAGAAATGGGGTCAATTGGTTTTACGTGAGCATGTCTCTAGGATTTGTTTCGGGATTTTGGATAGTTGTTGGTCCTTTGCTCTATAGTAGATCCTGGAGGTATACTGACTTTCGGTTCATAGACTGCATGTGGTACAAACTTCGATATTGTTGGTGGTGAGAAGGGGGAAAAAAAGAGTTGTGTGATTGTAGTTATGGCTTATTACAAGCATTTTGTATGTTGTTGTTTCTGTTTATCGTTAATCACTTAGGCTTTTCAATAATATAAGCCTTGTTAGGATTATGCTTTCTAACAAGAATGTGTACTCTATATATGTTTGATAATGTATTGCTCTATTGAAGAAAGGGTCTCCAATCTGTTCGTTGCTTCTTGGCAAACGCTATAGTTGAGAATAATAACTTCTGGGAAAAAAAAGGATAAAGTAAAATAAAAAAATAAGTTAAAAAATCGACATTAGGCATATTAGGACGTTGGACATCGGTGGTCAATCTACTAACTTTCCGTTTATTTTTTATAATTTGAACGAAGAGGTTATATATATTTTTATATTTATATAGAAGCACCTTCACAAGTGAATGTATGAAAAATTAAATTTCAATTAGGATTTAAAAAGAAATTCAAAACATATCTAACCTCACTAGGTGGCAAGTGAGATGCGTATTTTAAATTACATCCCTCTATTTATTCATTCGTTCGTTAAGTAAGTTGATCTTTTCCATCATTATTTTGACGCTTTTTTTTTAAATCTCATTTGGATAAAAAAATATTTATTTGAAAGTTTAAATTAATGTATTGACTTAAAATTATGGTTTTTATATTTAACATATTATAGTCAACTTCATTATTTTTATCTCTTAATATTATTGAAAACTTCAATTAATTTCTGAAATGACATTTTATCAAAATAATCCATGAATTTATATTGCATCTCATAAAGTTCTTAATTTTTTTTATATGTTTAAGGTTACATATGTATGCTATCTAATGATGCTACTTGAACAGTAAATTCAAGTGGCATATGAATGCACACCACTTATTGCCGAGGAAAAAAAAAATGAACACCATAGTCAAAATGTTATTTAAGATCTAATATGGCAAATCAAGGTTTAAATCTTTGTTAGGAGAGGTATCCACTTTTGGTGTTCTATAATGGCTCAAAAAAAATTGCTTCCAATAAGAGAATACATGTACCTACAACAAATATTTTAAAATTGTTATCAAAATATTATTATAAACATTAAGAAATTTATTAAAATTAAGGTTCGGAAAATATCTAGACAGTTTTGTAATTTTAGCAAAATTAAGGTAGATCAAGTCTTATACTGAAAAACTTGGTGGTAGTATAAAAGAAGATTTACAAAAAGGTGAAGAATTACCAAAGTAGTGATAGAGAAATTTTATTTTGTTTGAAGTAAACATCACGATGAGGAATCTTTTACTTTTCTTATGTGGAAAAAGTTGCTCATAAATTGAAAAGACATTTGGCCTGAGAGGGATGGAGAAGACAATTCCATGATTTTTGTTGTGTCTGTTGAATACTATTATGCTTTTAGTTATAATAATTATATCTGACACAACGACTAATGGATTATCAAGCATTTATCAGTAGAAATTATATTTGGCAAAAAAAAAAAAAGAAGAACAATAGAGCATGTACGTAAAAATATTTTTCTGACTATATTTAGAAATATTATTATTTTAAAATTATTGCTGTGAATTTTTTTAAAGTATTTTAGTTGTAAATAAAAATAAAAATCATATATATTTGTTTTATTTCAAGTGAAAATGAAAGTAATAAAAACTAGACTAGTTGAGACAATGTGTTAAGGATCAATAGGTTATATCAGGATCAAACTACTGGAAAATAAAAAATTAAAAAATAATTTAAGTTTTCATCCTACCATCTAAGAACTAAATATTAGTTCATTGCCTTGAATTACAAACAAAATAATCAAATACTTACAATTTTTTCCAACATTCTTTACAATTCTTTTGACAATTAGCATCATAGTATCATATTAAAAAGATCACTATAGATTAATCCTAGCAAAATACCAAAATAGATATATGATAACAAAATATTCCTGCCTACAATCGATTAATTACTAAGCTAATAGTTATCAATAGCTTATGAAAAAAATAGAGTTTTTGGCTCAAAATAGCTTTTTTTAATTTAAAACAAAAAGAGCAACCATGTTAACCCACCAAAGTAGGCTAGTTAACTAGGTTGCTCCTAATCTGGTCCGATTTATACTGGGTCACCCTCTCGGATCAATTTAGCTTCGATTTGCATGCTCAACAGGATTGACTACTAGGCCGATTTGCTGATTTTTGGTTGAACCAATTGAACCTGTCTGGGTTTCCATACTAAGTTGTAGTGAAAATATTATGGGATGAGGAAACTTTTTTCTAATATGGAAAAGTTTTCCCTTATATTGAAAAGACCATTGAAAAATAAAAGAGGATGGACCAAGAAACCTTAACAAGTTTTGTGTATTTGGCTCATTTTTCCATGAAAATATAGTTAATTAACGTGTCCACCATAGGTGGAAAAAGTTAGCCAGTAAGCCAACTACGTTTCCACTATCTCAAAATTTTAATCATGTAACATTAAATAATAAAAAAATTATTAAATAATTTTATTTGATAAAATTTGAATAATTTGTCAGCGGGAAATCCTATAAAACCCAAAACGCGTTTGGAGAAATTCTCTGAATCGAACAAAAATGTTGGGTGAAGGGAAGTCATTTGTAGTTATGATCAATTATACTACTAATATTTATGAAGATTTATTGAGTAAATTTTATTTATTAAAACTTGAATAAATTGCAAAGGCAGAAACTATAAGATCTATCACCTGTGCACAAGAAAACATAAACACCTTAGTTAAAAGGTAAATATCAAGAATATATTTTATGTGAAGATTAATTTTACTATTCATTTCAATTATTTTCATTAATTTGAAGTATGAGAAAATTAATATTTTAATTTTTCAACTTTTGACTCACTCATATTTAAGAGAAATTCAAGTTATTCCCAAGTGATTATTTTGGACTTGTGACTGATTCTTAGTGAGTTGGGTGCGTTTTACCTCAATTATAGCTCAGTTGCTTGGTACTACTCAGTGCTTGAATTTTGGACTCATTTTTTACTCAATCCCTTACATATTAGGGCCTTGGACATAGATGGTCAATCTACTAACTTTCAGCTTATTTTTTATAATTTGAACGAATAGGTAATATTAATACACACACACATATATAGAGAGAAGCACATTCCAAGCGAATGTATGAAAAATTAAATTTCAATTTGGATTTAAAAAGAAATTCAAAACACATCTAACCTCACTAGGTGGCAAATGAGGTGTGTATTTTAAATAACATCCCTTTATTTATTCATTCGTTTGTTAAGTAAGTTGATCTTTTTCATCATTATTTTGATACTATTTTTAATCTCATTTGGATAAAAAATATATATTTGAAAGTTTAAATTAATTTATTGACTAAAAGTTATTGTTTTTGTATTTAACATATTATAGTCAACTTCATTATTTTTATCTCTTTTATTGAAAAGTTCACTTAATTTTTGAACTGACATTTTATCAAAAATAATGCATGAATTTATATTGCATCTCATAAAGTTCTTAATTTTTTTTATATGTTTAAAGTTACATATGTTTGCTATCTAATGATGCTACTTAATAGTAAATTCAAGTAGGGTTGGTAAAATGGGCCAACCCGCGGGTTGCAGGTTGGCTCGTGGCGGGCTGCGGGTTATTTGGGTTGGGCTCAAAAAGCCTGTTTTCTGGTGGGTTGGTATTCTGCCAACCCTAACCCACCAAGGTGGGTTGGCAGGTCAACCCACCAACTCGCTAGATTTTTTAAAAGAATTTTTTCTCATAAATAATAAAAAATTAGAAAAAATTAGATATGATTTAAAGTATTCCAAGCATTCAAACAAAATTACAACTCATTAAAACACAAAATATACAATTGTCCAAAGTTCAAATTCCAAACATGATAAAACACAAGTGCAAACATAAATTTTTCCTACCTTTCCAGCCCAGCTCCTAATATTTTAATAAATATATAAATAAAAAAATTTAGGCGGGTTGGCGGGTTGAACCCACTCGTTTAATATTGAAACCCACCCGTTTATTTCTTCTTTGGACAGGCTCAAACAAGCCCAATCTTTACTGGTTGCAAGCAAGGTGGTCAGGTTGCGGGTTACTTGTTAGCCCTACATGAGATAAACATTTGCTGCAAACGTTTTGTTCTGATATTTGACATCAACAAAACTAATAATATCTAACAGCTTTTTGTTTAAAATTTATAAAATCGGAGACATAGATAGCATTGATTATTAGATTATGAGAATAAGCTAATCATTTTAAACATCAACTAGGGTTGGAATTACCGTGTTAGTTTTAGTATTGATTTGATTTGAATTCATGTGACGACCAAAAAAAAAAACATCATTTGAAGAGTTATTCTCAATTTGGCCTGTTAAATACTCATATAAAAAAATTAATTAGCTATAGCAAGAAAAAAGTTTAATCATTTTAAATGTTTTTAACATAAACTTCAATTAAGAAAAATATTTTTATAATTTTTTTACCAAAACATTTTTAAAAACTGCTGAAACATAGATTAAAATGAAGACTGTGAAAATATTTGAAAGTTTTTTGTAATTTTAGCAAAACTGAGGTATATCAAGTGTTATACTGAAAAAGTTGATCTTGATAGTCATACATCATTTGATGACAAATACTAAAGAAGACTCACAAAAGATGACCACTTTAAAACGGACAAAACAGATGAACAATTGTCACAGCAGTGATAGAAAAAATTTGTATTTTATTTGAAGCAAACATTACGTTGAGGAATCTTTCGCTTTTCTTATGTGGAAAAATTTGTTCACAAATGGGAAAGGAATTTGGCAAGAGAGGAGTGGAGAAGAAAATTCCATGATTCTTGTTCTGTCTTGATTGATTTGTCCTATCGTATAGTGATTGGAGAAGAAAATTTCCATTTAATTTGCCTGACAGTTATATAACACATTATATATATAAATATTCTTATGATTATATTTAAAAATA